TTAAATTAAATATATTTATATAATTAAATTAATTAATTTAAAGTTACACAGTTACACCTAATAAATTATGATTTATATGTTATGATTCATTGATACGTGCTCCTTAATAATTTATTATGCTTCTTAAAAGGGACCATAAAGGGTGGTGTGGGGCGACCCCCCACCGCCATAGTTATGTAAGTTTTATTAAAATAAGGTACGTTACATTTTAAAAGTAGCTAGAGTAGCTAGCAGAGACCTAGAGTACCTCTACTAATTTATTTCCAAGTCAACCGCTGATCGACATCAGTCGGGAGGTAACATTTGTAAGGAAAAATTTAAGTACATMAAAAAGGGTACAAATGTTCAATCGGTGGAAWTTACAATTACCCATTTCAAAATTCAGAGAAATGTGGGAAAAATTAACTGGCGATAAAATGATAACGGTCGAATGATAGTGGCAAGTGAAACGACGTGTTGAAGCCGACACAATTATTGATATTTGATATAAGGTCCGTGGAACCCTATCGGCTGTCACGTTTTTTACCGGCTGATGTGAACATTGAACCGTGCTTAATATAATTTATGTTTGTTCTTCTTGACTAGATTTTCTTTTCGATACCTGTGCTGTGGAGGGCTTTCCGTGATTGTTTTATTTAACCATCCACGTAAGTTACAACCGTTCATTTTGTACCTATTCGATTTATGGTGTTTATGGTGTAGCTGTTTAGGAACCTCAAAATTATATTGTTTCAACTAACTACATAACAATCTACTATAGTACACTCTGTTTTTTTGAATAAACAATCAAATATTTCAATTGTTCATTTAGATTTTAGAGCYTTAAGTGCTGTATTTTGTATGATTATATTTATAAAATTTTATTTATAAAAAATAACTGAAATGCCAATCGATCAGAGGTGGCTTGACTATTGTGTATGCCCTACACTGCTGTATTGGATTGCTACTGCCAACTGTGGTACCTATTGATAAGACTGTTTAAGTCTTAATAATTAAGGTCTTTACTGAAATTGAGCATTTATCACCAATCAGGAGCAAAAACTCCCTATAAGAAACCTTAAAAATATGTTTGAACACAGCAGAACAGAGAAAGTTCATTATGCTGTATAGTAAATTCTTATAAAATCTGATTACCGTGATAATCTTGAATTTTACTCACGTTTTTTTTAAAATTAAATTCACTCTAACCAGGTTAGATAATGTGCTATTACATTGTATTGTAATTCCACATACAAGCAGTTATTTTATTTAGTATGCAGCATTTATCAATGTTATGTTATTTAGCAGTAGTTTTTTTTCACAGTAGGCACCTATTGCATATACATTAAATACCCYTCATTTCAAAATTGAAATATTTATTTTTACTTAATTTGCTATAAATAGGCAACCACCTATCACTTGATATTGGAAAATGGATCAAGTCCCAATACATCACATTACATAGAATCCACTTCTCAGGTTTCCTGAGAAATTTATATCTACCTATATGAATATTCAAAATATTATGATGATATACATGATATACATGATAAAATTTCTATAATTATCCAAATTTTAAAATAACTACTGTAACAAGAATTTCAAATTTATATGTATATTATAAAATGTGCAATTTAAAGTCTATCATTATGTATAATACTTACTTAACTGATTACCTGGTTAACATGACCGTATGGTTAGGTTTGGCTTTGGGCGAGACRGTCCTGTTTTCGAGATAAGTGTCCCGCTGTCCCCAAAGAACCTAAAAATGTTCCGCTTTCAGAAAAGTCGACTTGTGTTGTATATTTATTGATCACATATTACAATCATACATTTATACTGTACCTATACAGTTTACAGTATATGTATACCTACAAATTTTGCATATACTGTAAAACACTAAAACTAATAGTCCATATATTGTTGGGAGTCTATTATGATTAATATATTATCTGCGCTTTTCTGTTGTCATTTATTATAGAAACAATTATTAATGTTTTTACTTTCAATAAAAAAATTTGTCATTTTACGCAAAATGTATATGGTTTTCTTATTAAAATGTACAGGTGTCCCGCTTTGAAGAAAAAAAATATGGTCATGTGATACTTGATATAAATGTGTTTAACTAATTATGAATAGCCAATATTATGATTTGAATACTATATAATTTAATAATTTATTATTATTTTTGTATTTCAATAATACCAATATACAGAATCCACTTAAGACACCACCTTAAAAGTTTGATTGGAGCATGGCACTGATATTTCACATAATCAACCAAACTGCCTCTGACGCTCATACCATGGCTTAAATTATAAAATAAAATAACATAATATTTAGATAAATGTATATATTATATAAGAATAATGCTGTGGTGCTGTGGAAATTAACAAATTATTAGGAAATATTGTTACTTATTATTACCTTGAAAAAAATATACAATTTTAAGACATTTGTATAAACTAATWAAAATAAAAAACAATAGGTGAGGTTTTATTTATAGTTTTAAAACATAAATTGTTCCTAATTAAATAAATTATAATTTAAGGTTTATGTTTAAAATATGAAAAATATATATACAAGTCATTGGTAATATTGTTCATTTTTCAGAAGTATTTCTACTATGGAAGAAGAACAACGCCGGATGCAGAGTGCAGTATATGATGTTTTAAATGACATTGATAGAAAATGTTTAAGGACTTTGCAAGTAAATAATTTAAAATATTTATTTTTTCCACATTTAATATCATTATGATATTTTCTTAAGAGTTTATATTTTAAATACTATTTACTGAAATAAGTTGGTATGTATCTTTTGTCCTAGAATAATACCATAATTCCAACTACATTTTTTTTTAGAGCTCTTCACAATCACAATGCTTGTAGCATTAGCTTAATATCCTTATTATTACCGCATTATATGTGATTTTTAAAGCACATAACTTAATTATATTGAGTTAATTTAGAGTGAGAAAATKCTCTTTCATTTGTTTCAAGCATAGTATGTTTAAATATAGTATGTGAAATTTTTTCTCTGCTTACTATTGGTAAATACTACTATATAATTTACTAAAAGTACTAGTTTTCAATGATTATACATAATCTACCATCATATTTTACTACAAATTGATTTAGCATTGGCAGCCAACAAGCCGATCCATTATGTTTATTTTACACATGTTTTACTAAACATTTAGCATGAATATTTTCAGATTTAATTTATAGGTTACTAAAACGATAATTCTTCCATAGAAACATATTATATTATATTACTCAGTTGTTTGATTGTTTCATACTATAATTTTCTTCTATTATACTATCATTTGTACTAATATTATAATTGTATTGTAATTGTATTAGTATCATATAATATTTTAATTTACGTTACATATTTTAATATTAAAAACCAAAATTGTATGCTTTATACAATATATACATTGTATCCATTTACACATACAATAATTATTATTACAATTTATTTCCACAGATTCAGATGCATCAATGTGCTATTGATTGTTGTAGGGACCCTTCAAAAAACATTGAATCATTGGAAGTGTGTAATGAAAATTGTTCAAAGGAAGTCACAGCTGCTCGAAACTATGTTCAAAATGAATTTAATAAGTGGCAGGTATTGTTCTTTCTTTTTAATTTGAACACAATCATTAATTTATTTTAAATTTTATTCAACCAATATTATTTTAGTATACTGTATTGAAACTATTATTTAAAAATGCTGCGATTATATATCATACTGTATGTTCAATTTTAAAGGTAACAGGAAATATCTTGAACTCATTACCAAGAGTTTAATTCAAGGTTTTTTTACTGCCTAAAGAACATCTGTTTTAGATAAATTCTTATTTTTAATTATTTTTGTTGGTACATGCACAGTAAAATAAAAATGTCTTAACATATTGACTGCCTTGTAGCTGCCAGCGGCCTCAAGAATATTTATCATGGGTACGCCAAAGACATTTTTTCAGTTTCATTATAAATTTGTACTTGTATATWTACTATTTAAGAAATTTTTATTTTACTCTACATGCACCAAAAAATATAGTTAAAAGTTAGAATYAATCAAAAATAGATATATTTATATGTCCTGTAGACAGTAAAAGAAACCTTAATCAAACTCCAAGTTATGTGTCTGAAATATTTCCTGTTACCTTTAAAATTAAGCACAAGGTATACCGGATGATTCATTTAATGTAGAACACAAATTATTCAAAATGTATTAATGTTTTTGAAAATATTTTTTTACATGGTTTCAAGGCATTACAAAACAATTTTATTAATTGAAAAATTATATTTTTTTCTTTTTAKAATTATACAGATTTTATTTCATTTTTGAATTCAGAATATTCTTCTGAGTAATTCAATACAAAAATAAATTGAATTTAATATAAATAGTTTTACCTATAAATATTTTAAGTTTAGATGAGTGTAGTAGTGGACCAACATTTTGCGGGGTAACCGCTTATCAAAACATAAGAAAAATATTCTGCATTGAAATAAAACTGTATKCTGTCATTCAAAAAATTAAATACTTGTAGGTTTTAAGATAATGTATATTATGTTTATTTTGATTTCAGCATAGAATACAACGTTGTGTTCAAGATTGCGGTGATGCTGTTATGGATAAAATGCCCAGCGAGAGAAATCGGAATGAAAATGAGGTATGCAATTTAAATATTGTTTCAATCATTAAATAAATTTATGTTTATTTTTCAAAATGTTTAATTTAAATGTTTTTTTTTTTTATATATTAACCTAACCATCTAGCAAAAATCTAATCTATTTGCTTAGATATTTATGTCCATAATGTTATTTTGTTTCATGTTACTTCAGCCCCGAAAAATGATTTTATTTTTTATGTAAATAAGGAAAAATACAATATGTTTCAAGTCATACTCTATAAAAGTATATTTTAAAATGTTTAGATTGAGTTTGTATATATCTCCTATTAATTAGAATTTGGAAACATTTTCCACATTTTCATCAAACAAAAAATAATTTACTGTCTATAAACAATACAAATTATTTACAGTTTTGATATATTTATAGTTTAAATTTCCAAATTAATTTGTATTTATWATCAATATCATAATAATTAATAATTGTCTCTAGAATAGAATGATTAAGTAATAATTTATTCACTTATTCCATTCATTTATCAAGCATAATCTAATATCTGCTGTACCAAAAATTAATTTCATTATTAGTAAATAGAATAAATGCATTTAAATCCTTTTATTTTAGAGTTAAATTAGACATTTTTCTACAATGTTAGATTACTCTACTCATGAGAAAATTTAAATTAAATTATATTTTATTATTATTAATTATTTTAGGTTTAATTTATTTTGAACTTTCATTAAAAATATTAAACTTTTATACCTAATCAATTAAATGTACTTATTAAGTGTTAATCTTTTTATATTTAATAGGCTATTTGTTGTTTTAGGTGAATAAATATATAAAAGAAGCTGAAGGATGTACGTCACAATGTTTTGCAAAATACATTAAGTTATTACCACAATTGAGCAATAAGATTGTTGATAATTTGTCCAATAAAAAATTACAATAAATCTAATAGCATTTATATAAAGTTACAAAAATCATATATTTGTTTAATATAAGATCAAATTATGCCCACATTTCAACATATTGTGCTCATGTAGTTATTTTTAACATATTAAAGTTAATATAGTGAAATAAATGGATTATAAATGACCAAAGAATATTTAATGATCAAGTAATTCTCTTTGTTTCCAACATGAAATATTTGAATATTGGTAAAAAGTTGAAAATAACATTATTTATGGTAATTTAAGATGTTTGTTTACAAAAAAAGGAATCTATCATTAATTTCTAATGAATTAAGTATCACAGAAAATGACAAACGTCAATAGTAACCACAAACAAGGTGTACTTCTTTTACTTGATGTTATAAGAAAAACTTAACGGTTTTTCATTTGTGAATTGCACACAAAATTAAAATTTTTATAGTCAAATTCAAGAAAATCCAATTGAATACATTAAAATACATTTGAACACTAAAAAGTTAATACACTATGCAGATATCGCTCAGCTGAACAGTAGATTACAAGTGGGTTATTGTAATGGATTGTATTAAATTTGAATTCAATAATATAGCTAGTATACAAAAAACTATTCTGAGCGGAGACAGTTTGTCACTTTATCACACTAGGATATTTGTAATATAGTCAAAGTTTGAACTTTAAACAGTAATAAAATAAAAACATGCCTTTGTACTTCTAATATTTTCCAATTGCTATTACATAAACGTATGGAGAACTTTGTATTAAAATTTCAAGCTTTTTTACTTGAGGAATAAAATATTATTGACATTCATAGAATAAAAAACTAAGAAAACAGAAAATTTCAAATGTCTATAAGTAACTTAAAAACGTTTAAATATTTTGAAAATATTATCAAGTACAAGAATTGATAAAATGGTGTAAATCGCAAGTTTCTACTGTTATTCGTTTTTGAATAACAACAAAATGAGAATATCAGTACCAGAGAATTCGAGTGAAGACAATGGTGTAAAAATTTGAAATTCAAATGCTAATAAAAATGTAATTTAACTTTCTGGTAGACATTCTTTATTTGATAAAAATAGACAAACTTATGAAGAATCTTGTHCTGAATTTTCAAATCTTAGATTTCAATAGAATTTTTATCCATTTCTAACTCAAAATAATTTGCAAATTTTAGCGAGATTTACATACTTTGTCAAAATTCAAACTTAAAATGATTTTAAAAAAAAAAACTTGTGACTGTTTGTTTAATATTTTTGATAATAAAAAAATTTAAAAAATTAATTTAAAAAACAACTAAAAAACTTGAAAACTTAAAGTGTCTATAAATAGTTTAAAATAATTCAAGAATATAGCAAATGCTAATATAAACATTGAATACAAAATGCATGTATCTATATTCTATGGTGATTTGTTTTGGAGTTACTTCAAAATAGGAAATTGATTTTATCAAAAACCTTGTTTGCATAAAAATGCCCGTTTTTCCTGGAACTTTTAAAAATTACTGAGAATTTTAAATTTGACGTCCTCAATGCACCAACTAGATTCATTCTCTAACCAGAAAACCTTCGGAAGTTGAAAATTGAAGCATTATTTCGGCAACTTCTTGTGTACACATACACAAAAAAAAAAGTAAAAAACACATTTTATAAAGCTATTCCAGAACACCCAGTTTTAAGGATCTTGGAAAAAATCATAGAGATATATAATAGTTAAAATACCAAACTACAATCTTCTAGAAAGTTATGGAAAAATATATGTTGCAATTTAAGTGGTTGAAGGTAAAACAGAACATAAAATATATTTTTTTTATTTGCTGAATCAAGAGATTACATTCAATTTATATTAATAGCTTTAACAGCATTACAATAAGCAACAAAGTTATTATGTTGATGGGAACTTTAATTCTTTAAGTCTTAATTAAAATACAAATATTCAGGATTCGTTTTTGTTTACTTATAAAATTAATTAAAATACAGACTTTGCCGTAGAAAAAATAGTTGGACAATATTTTTCTGCAACTAAACCATATGGCTGTTTTGAACCTTTGTTAATAGGTGTGTGCTTACTATGTAAATTCCATACATGAATACCAATGCTGTCTTTAAGTTTAACCATTACTTCATGACTAGTGTTTGTATTAAAATACATCTTCCAATCAGTCCAACTTATGGGACAAAATGCTTCTGTTCCAAACACCATGAATCCTTTACACTTTTGTTTGTTCATATCAGTTATCTAAAAAAAAAAGAATAGTATTAAATTTAAATTTTATTTTTAATTCAATATTATTGGRTGTAAATTGATTTAGTTGAAATTTCAAATTAATAAAGATTTTTTTAGTATTCGTGTTGAAATTAAAATAAATAAAATCCATTTACTTGTATTTGATTTGTTTCAAATTGTTAATATTTTTTAATAAGATGTCAGCTCACTATTTGTTTTCTCTCTCTGGCCCAGGTTCTCATGATAGATAAACACATTTATGCAAAATAATATAAAAAATGTTTTTAATTGTTTTTAAATAATCATAGGATAAAATTCATTGCAAAAAAAAAAAAAAANTGTTTTTAAACGAATATTAGCATGTACAATGTTCCTTCTACCTACAAAACCGTCGCACGACTATTGTCCGTTAATGCGATCTCACGTTTGCCACGTGTCCGATCGCCGCAATATCGAATGACGAAATCGTATCGGATCGGTCGCATCGTATTGCGATTATCGGATTTGCCGTATTTACGTAGGACACGGCGTTATTGAGCCATATTTTGTGTTTCACAAACATTTTATTAAAAATTTAGGTACCTATATTGGTTTTAAACGTGATTGAAACGCCATAGAGTCATGTGTTGGAGTAATGGAKTGTCAATCATACCGTAGATATGTCCTATGGGCATATATATGTCTTTTGGTCTAATACCAAACAGTTCAATTCAACACATTTTTAATTATATTTATATTGGTACTTGGTAGTCGGCAGGTAGGTATTTATAGCAGGTACTTTCGGAGGCTGGTACAAAGTAATCAAATATAGGTATTTAATCTTAATAGTCATTGTTTTCCGTAGTTTTTGTAATTAGTTCTTCGAAAGTTCGAACCTTTTATCAATATTATGTACCTATTCGGTTTTTTGTTCTCACAACATTGGAGAACGATTAAAATTTAGGTACATATTTTATTAAACTAGCGTTCAGTATTTTAAAAACAATAATGAATGTGCTCTCACGATTTGAAATAAATTGATATAATATTAAAATAAACTATTTAAATTTATGAGCTTGATTAGCAATGACTATAGCATACAAATGCAATATAAATGAATATAAATATTATATTATAATAATGTGCATAGACACAAATAGTGTTTGAAATCTGGGGGGGGGGGCTGAAGCTGTAGCTCAGATCAGGATACTCTTATGATGCTTTTAAATTAAATAATGTGTATCATATAGTAAAATCATTTGTTTTTGAGGGGCTATAGCAATTCTTAGGGGAGCTAAGCCCCTATCCCCCCTATTTGCGCCTATGATAATGTGTTACAAATTAATATGAAATATAATTACAAGCTTAAAATGAATTTAAATATAATAATATGTCTCAAATGAATATTGTTACGTAGGTACCTATACAATATGTACGAGATATCACTCAATTGTGATATAAAATAAGTATTAATTATGACTAAAACTAATAAGCCACTAATATCAAAAGGAGGTCAACAATAGGAACGTTTTGAATAAGGTGTACAATTGATTAAATTACAAAAGTGTTTTTACACGTCTCTTCTCAGAAATGACTGTAGACCCGCGTGAAAGGATACGAAACGGTCAGCATATTAAGTTGAATCACAAAACCAAATGTTAACATGTAACTGGAAAGTCACCAGTTCACCGCTACTCCTAAAAGGACCAAATCATATGTGGACGACAAGACGGGTTTTTTTAAATGTGAGCCAAACAGCTCTTACATGTGAGCTAGACGGTTAGGGATATTCAAGACGCTCAGAGGTCGTAACACCACTCATTGTCTTTTAATTCAGAGTCAGGTCGTAACACCGCTCACCAACACCTTATAGCTTACTATGTACATTCAACATTGTACTTTTGTATCAAGTTTAAACGTAAAATAAAGTATTTGTACACTTATACATCAGTATTTTCATTCCTACGTTGATGTATGAATCGACATCAATGGTTGTCTTGGGGGTGATGTGGGGGGGGACTGAGTACCTAAAATAATTTTTTGGATACGCTAGCGTACCCCTACTTCTTTTTTAAAGGGGAACGCATGGGACGGATTGTTATGTAAACTTTTAACTTGCCTATTAATTAAAATTAAATACAAAATTGTATTTGAAAATGTGAATTGTAATTTTATTGTATTAATATTTGATATCTAATTCTAATATGAAGTGAACAAAAGTTATAAATTTAAATTAAATATATTTATATAATTAAATTAATTA